GCTACACGACAAGGGTATCAAACGAGGGTATGAAGACATTCAATTCGAAATTTTATTAATAAAAAATTGTGTAGATCTCGGTGGTCGCCGTATCATTAAAAAATGCCCCTTGATTTTTAGGACATGTCACACGACTAGTATTATGAGTTATAACAGTTTGTGCAAAAGTGATTCTCTTTAATTAATTAAGAGCTGTTTTTTTTATTTATTCTGATTTATTTATAATATGAAAATACATCAATGTTAATAAATATTTTTAAATATGGCTCTGTTACATTCTAAAGACATGTCTGCAAGCTCAAAACATCTTTCAGAATTAAAAATTTTCGTCTGTATGAGAAGCTAGAACAGTTTATGCAAAAACGATTTTCTCTAAATAAATTGATTTTAACAATCGGGAACTTAAAACGTTTATAACTCTGGAAGCAAAATAGCTACAAAAAAATTTGATTTTTAAGAATCTTGTCTATAATATAACAACGCTGTTTTTTTTTGTTTAATATGATTTTTTTAAATTTATGTGTGTATTTGACAGTTATTTAAAAATACAAAAATTGCGTTTCCCAAACAATTATTTACTAAATCTAGTTAGTGTAAAAAACAATTTTGGTTACCCCGCACATATTTAGTGTTCATATATATGTATTTTTTGACAGTTTAGAATTTATGACAAAAATACAAAAATTGTGTTCCCCAACAAATATTTACTAAATCTAATAAGTAGTGTAAGAAATAATATTGTGATCGTTATTTTGGTTACCCCGCACATATTCAATGTTTTTTTTAAATTCATATGTATTTGACAGTTATTTAGAATTTATGATAAAAATACAAAAATTGCGTTTCCCCAACAAATATTTACTAAATCTAGTAAGTAGTGTAAGAAACAATAGTAATTGTTATCCAGTTTATTACCAGAATGTTCCACTATGTTAACCTCTTTTAATATGATTTTTTAATAAATAAATTTCCTAATATGTATAATTAAAATTAATTAGCACGCGAAATAAATGAATATTTTGATCATTTGATCATATTATACATCATACCTTGATTATTAATTCATAATTTCCAATATTATTTGTTATTGGCGTTTTCAATAACCATAAATGAAGGAATCAAAGGCTTTGATTAAATGGAAAAAAAATTTGTTTTTTATATTTCGTATTATAAAATTTTTTTTTAATATACTTGAACAAGTTTAGAATGATTTGGATTAGCATTCAAAAAAATAGATCTTTTAAAAAAAACGATGAATGACAAAAATGAAAAAGAATGGGAGTAAATGCTGATTAGATTTTCGTTATTTTAATTAATTCGGATGTTTCTTAATTTTATATTATTGTCGTCGTAAATGAAAAATTTGCAAATCGTAACTATTAGTATTAGTATTAGATAAAAAATTTTAAATGAAATCATGTTACACCAAAAAAATTTCATTGATGGGTTAGCAATGTTTTGAATATGAAGAAAAAGATATTTAATATTGTTGTCTCATAGTAAGAATAATATTTGAAGTGATAAAAATAGAAATCATTCCAATAGTGTAAATAAGATTATTATTATGACTGTATTAATCTTAATCTCCTATGGGATTCTCCAGACAATAATTTATCTCATGAGAGAGAAGAAAACGGATATCTATCTATGTATTTGTTTTTATTTACGTTTTTTTGATCCTTGTTTTTTTTTTAAAATGAATTTCCAAAATAAATAATTGAGAATGGAGAAATTTTTTTTTGAATCACGAGCTTAACTACGTCACACACCACCAAAACACTGCGTGTCATACAAACACAAATGATTGTGAAAAAAAATTTTAATATTTCATCGTATGTTTAATATTAATATAGGATTAGAGTAGAGTAAATAATTAATATTGATTAAATCTTTCAATTGATTGGTTGTTTAATGATTAATTAAGTAACTATATTTTAATTAACCAATAGTTGTTAATTGACCAAGTAATTTATATTTTAATATTTTAGATAACATACTTTGACCCAATAAAATATTCATCAAGAATATTATTTACATTAACAACAAATCAAAGATTTATTTTTCTATCATCCAGACACTTATCAGATAGTTTGAAAATCTTTAGATGAGAAAGGTATTTATTTTATTTTTAAAGCAAAGCCAAGATTAATCAGGTGGTTTCTTTCATGTAAAGAATGATGTTGTGCTGTTTATGAAAGGTACACCTAGTGAACCGCAGGTATGTTTCCCCACATCTTATCATTAAAGTTTATGCATGTGTTCAACGGATGGATATTTATTTTATTTGTATATTTTATTTATTTATTTATTTATTTATTTATTTTATATTATTTATTAAGAATTGATAGCACCAACGTATCGGGAATTCAGAGCGCGCAGCGTGGAGTTCTAACCAAATATGGGAACTATATTACATATTTGATTAGCACGCACTCAAACTGGTATGGGCAGGCACCAAGATCAAGGCTTTAAATGTGTTAGAAGATGTGGAATTAAGGAATGGAATCAAAGAATATTCGTAGGTAATTATTTGCTTAATAATCACTGAATAGAAAACAGGAATTTATTGATTCTTTTTAGGACAATTTTATTCATTTTGGATTGTTTATAAATTAATATACCAGAAATTGGCCAACTATCCCTCAGGTTTATGTAAAAGCTGAATTTGTTGGTGATTGTGATATTGTATTAAATATGCATCAGTCAGGTGAATTAGAAGAATTGCTAGTAGAAATATGCAAGATGATGTCTCATTTTAAGCGTACGTAACAACTATTGCGCATATTTAGAAATATGGGACGTGGACAAAAGATTACACGGCAATTTATTTAAAATCAAGATTGACAGCATTATAGTTAAAATTAGATCATTGCCTTACTCTTCCGGATTCTTACTATTGTCATTCTAGACAAAATATACAATTGTAAAAAATAAAAATGGTTTCTCGCAAAAATGACTTAAAATCGCTGAGTCATTAAGGCGGATGACTAATCTGGATTCACATACTAAATAAATAATCAAGTAATGTGATAAATATTTTTCTGTTGCACGATAATACTATGCGGAATATTTTTATGGTTCGTCGTGTTTATAAATAAATGAAGGATTCAAGCACACAATGATGCTTCAAAAAAAAAAAAAAAAAAAAAAAAAAATCGAAAATAAAAAAATATGATTTTTCTGCCTGGAGAAATAAAAGAAAATATTTTCATATTCGCTCCTAGACCTCTTTCCCTAATTTTACTCAATAAAGAATGGTATGGAATGTCAAGCAAAGCAAGCATTCGTGCAAAGTGGGTAATTCAAAATTACGGAAAAGCAAATGCCTTATTTCATGCAATCCGATTTGGAGAAAATTTTATCTCAATGGAATTGGTCGGTTTTCTAATCACAGAAGAAAAAGTGATTTTATCTAGATATTTTGCACAAAGGTTGCATTTACAGTTTGGGAAAACAGATAACATGCTCCAAGCTACACGAAATTATTTTAGAAATCCATGGGCTTCAAGTATTCCATTGGCCATATATACCCATTTGTTAAAAGAGGCTAGGGAACAATATGGTCCAGACCTTCCATTAAAAGGGAATGATATTGAATTATTTGATTGCTTAACAGGTGGACCATCAGCTATAAATTTGGCACCAGGAGAATTAAAAGAAAACCTTGAAAAAATTAAGGATCTTATACTTAATAAAAAATTTGTACCTTTTCCTCCAAGACCATTTGAAATGCAGATCCTTAATTGTGAAGAATATCCAGCCAAAGATGGTTTTGAAAATAACAAACAATTAAATATAATTGCCAGGGCAATATTAATTTATCCAGAAATTATGGAATTATGGAAACAAATTGGTTATCCTGATATATGTATAGATGTCAATGATTTGGTGCTACAAGGTTCTTTGATAATTCTATATAATCCAAATTCAAAAAATGAAGATTGTCTTTCAACCAGGAATGATTTTGTTGAACGCATACAACAATTTATCAAGATTGGATTCAAATTGACAAAATCTGTTATGGTGGATATTTTATTTTTGTATGAACAACATCTCACCAAAATTGGAGAAACACTTATAAAAGCATTCCAAAAAATAAGGGACCAACCAAAAATTGAAATTGTTGGATATTGTATTTTGGAAGCCATCAAAATCAACAGGAATTCAAAAAATCATCAAGTTTTAGATTTTCTCAAGATTCAACTTGAAGAAAATGATTTAGAACCTGTTTATCTTAAAGCTCTAGTTTATCATTATTTTGATGTTACTACTGGGAACAAAATCGAATTTCAAAATTTTAAGTCAATTTCCAAACTTTTCAACAAAAAAATTATTGATGAACCTATTAATTATTACTATGCTTATGACTACAAATCTTATCCACATGATATAAAGACATTGAAATTGAGTAGCAATTTGTACAAATGGATAATAAAAAACTTCAAACCTGATTCAATTGTCACAAGATTATGTTTCAATGATATAATTATATCCAAAATATGGATTGATAAAGAATTGTCACTTCATCCTGAAAGACAGATACCAGAAAACATGACCAGTCATGCATTTGAACTGATCATATTTGTTTATAATGAATTTTGTAAGAATAATGTTCCATTTGAATTGGTACATTTGAACTTATTAAAGGAGTCAAATAATTTTACAACCTTGGCACCATTTTTTGAAAGTTTCTTACCACGAATTTTTAATATTAACCCAACATTTGATTATCACAATGTCAATAATAATATCAAAGAAAAAGGATTAAAAATTGAAGAAGCAACAAAATTCTGGTTTATTGAATTGAAGGAGATTCATGATCAAATGGACTCACAATTTAATGTCACCACCACACATAATCAGTTTACTACAAATTTCAAAATTTTTATGAAAAAGTTTTGGAATAGAATTGTGTTGGAAACTGACTACATTAGCAAATTTGAATCTAAAAAAAGAAAACGTGCATTTGAATAGTGGAAAAGGTGGATTGAAAGTTCAAAAAGACAGCTAGGACAAGGGAAATTGAACTGTGAATTATTTTTCTGTATTATTATTATTATATTTTTTATCATGATATTTTTAAGATAACACACATTTATATTTATTTACATGCCATATGATTTTTAAAATAAGATACACATACACGGTGAATCTCGATTTAGCGGATAGTTTGGGCAATTAGGGAAAATGTTTCAAAAATCCGTTAATCCGCTATATCGAGAAGATTTTTATTAAGGTTTATTATGGAACCGTTATTTGAACTTTATCCGTAAAACTGAGATTTTTAATTAATATCCGCTAAATCGAGATTCACTGTACATTTATATTAATCATGCGTTTCTTATGTATCATATTGCACAGTATTAAAAGTTACTGAACGCAATGTAGAGTTTTAAAAAAAAAAATTTTTTTTTTTTGTAAGTTTAAATTAATAAAATTGCATAAATGTTGTTGAAATTAGCCAAAAGAGATAGAGGGAGGGAGATCGGAATATGTTGTACAATTTTATACTTACGAAAATAACGGCGGTTACAAAAATTGCATATCTCAACAAATAGGTGAAGGTGGGTTTGTAGGATTGCAAAGCATAATTAAATAGATATGTTTAGATTCATTGAAAAAAAAAAAATTTATATTGCCAATTTTTTGTAAAGCTAATTCACATTTTTTTTTAAAACCTTCACAAAATTTTTGACTTTAATAATTATTCTAACGCAAAAATGTACATAATAATTATACAAAAAAAAAACAGATTGTAGCTCAAATCCTGAAGATTTTACATATAGAATTACATGCTTCTATATTTTCTATAACTTTGTTAATTAAAAGAAATTCGATTATTTTTGAAAAAAGCACATAAAACCTTGGATCAGACAGCCATTATCCTGCTTATGTTCAAAAGTATTCATTCTTTAAGCATTTTGGAATTATGTTCAACAGTATAAAATGGAATATTTACTTCATGATGTATTTTTCCTCGATTAATGAGCGTTGTCAGACCAGTAATGTAAATAACGTGAAACATTTTGAAGTTAGGCCCCAATCTTCGTTTAATAAGTGTTTATAAACATACAATATTATCTGCGGATTTTTTAGTATCTTTATCATATATTTCAACAGATTGTAAATGTTGACAACAAAATTAAACTAACAATATATTTTTTTGAAACCATGAATTATAAAAAGAAATTCTATTAATTATCAGTTACAATGTAAACTTTCATGGTAAAATTTCATAATAAATTAAATAACTTTCATCAGGAAAATAAATCTCATGTAAACCTACGCAGGGTTTAAAACTGACCAGCATTATGCGGAAATGTTAACAGAATTACCAAAATATCGAACCCTACGTAGGTTTATGTAAGATTTATTTTCCTGATGTTAAACCATGACAATTTTTTTTATAATAAAATTAAACAAAACTTTTTATAGTTTTATTGTTAATAAAATTACAGAGAGTTTTCCCCCATCTCATTTGGTTATAAAGTTTTTCTATTAACAATCTTTTTTCAATTTTTTTAGAATATATAAAAAAACTCACTGTAATCTAAAAGCTTGACCTTTTTAATATAATTCCCCTTAGTTTAATGTCTGTATCTTTTTATTTGAAGGCTCTGATACAATTTTTATTTATATATATATGTTCTTATTTTTTTAAAAAAAGTTGTTATTGATCGGCATCATCTCTATACACTCACCTACAATAAATATCCGACCATCTGACGATCATTTTAATAATTGGGAAACTTATACCTCACTCAGTTCAAAATTTTATTAATCAAACCGGGACTGGTGCATTAAGTAAACATGTTTTTAAAGTCAATTTGAATATAAAC